CACATCAGAGGTCCACCCATCACATCAGAGATCCCCCATCACATCAGACGTCCCGCACCACATCAGAGGTTCCTCCTCACATCAGAGGTCCCCCATCACATCAGAGATTCCCCATCACATCAGAGATTCCCCATCACATCAGAGGTCCCCATCACATCAGAGGTCCCGCACCACATCAAAGGTTCCTCTTCACATCAGAGGTTCCTCCTCACATTAGAGGTCCCCCATCACATCAGAGGTCTCCTTAACATCAGAATTCCCCCCATCACATTAGAGATCCCCCATCACCTTAAAGGTCCCCCATCTCCTTAAAGGTTCTCCATCACCTTTGACGTCCCCCATCACATCATCAGAGGTTCCTCATCACATCAGAGGTTCTCCATCACATCAGAGGTCTATCATCACATCAGATCAGAGGTCCCCCATCACATCAGAGGTTCCTCATCACATCAGAGGTTCTGCATCACATCAGAGGTCTATCATCACATCAGATCAGAGGTCCCCCATCACATCAGAGGTTCCTCATCACATCAGAGGTTCTGCATCACATCAGAGGTCTATCATCACATCAGATCAGAGGTCCCCCATCACATCAGAGGTTCCTCATCACATCAGAGGTTCCTCATCACATCAGAGGTTCCTCATCACATCAGAGGTTCCCCATCACATCAGAGGTTCCTCATAACATCAGAGGTCCCCCATCACAAAGTCTCTCCTTCACATCACTGGTTGGGAGGTGGACTTCTATCTTCTCCTAAATGCTGGAATTGGCTCTGCATGCTGCTGATCCAAGGCAAGATGGGTCCCATGCTCCTAGCACCCCGGGGGGAACCCAGGCGGCACCCTGGTTAAGAAACACAGCATTGGAAAATTGAACCAACATTCCAGAAACTGTCATTTACTAACGCAGTTCTAATGGCGTATGGTCCGCTTTACCCAATCTGTCCGAGCCGAATGCAACGCTTTGGGTCGGAGTTCCACTTTACTCGTAGATGAAGTAACGATGGAAGAAACGGAATGGCTGCAATTGTGTAACTTTTCAACTTTCTGGCTAAAATGAAAGTGAAGGATTTCCTCTGGTGATTATCTGGTGAGGCTTTGTCCAGTCATGGGAGGAAATGTGTCACCCAATCCCCAGGATTATTCAGAGATTACTGAAGAAAATGAAACTCATTAAATCATAAAGGAATTGTTCTTATTGTTCTCCGTGTTGGGGCCGGTCATCACATCACAGGTTCCTCATCACATCAGAGGTTCCCCATCACATCAGAGGTTCCTCATCACATCAGAGGTTCCTCATCACATCAGAGGTTCCTCATCACATCAGAGGTCCCCCATCACATCAGAGGTCCCCCATCACATAAGAGGTCCTCCATCACATCAGAGGTCCTCCATCACATCAGAGGTTCCTCCTCACATCAGGGGCCCTCCATCACATCAGAGATCTCTTTAACATCAGTGGTCCCCCCATTACATCAGAGGTTCCCCATCACATCAGAGGTCTCCTTAATATTAGAGGTCCCCCATCACATCACAGGTTCCCCATCACATCAGAGGTCTCCTTAACATCAGAGGTCCTCCCATCACATCAGAGGTTCCTCATCACATCAGAGGTTCTCCATCACATCAGAGGTTCCCCATCACATCAGAGGTCCCCCATCACATCAGAGGTCCCCCCATCACATCAGGATTTCCTCTGGTGATTATCTGGTGAGGCTTTGTCCAGTCATGGGAGGAAATGTGTCACCCAATCCCAGGATTATTCAGAGATTACTGAAGAAAATGAAACTCATTAAGTCATAGAGCTATTGTTCTTATTGTTCTCCGCGTTGGGGCCGGTCATCACATCACAGGTTCCTCATCACATCAGAGGTTCCCTATCACATCAGAAGTTTCCCATTACATCAGAGGTCCCCCCATTACATCCGAGGTTCCTCATCACATCAGGGGTCCTCCATCACATCAGAGATCTTAGCAGAGGCCTCTGATCACATCAGAGGTTCCCCCATCACATCAGAGGACCCCTATCACATCAGAGGTCCCCCATCACATCAGAGGTCCCCCCATCACATCAGGATTTCCTCTGGTGATTATCTGGTGAGGCATTTTCCAGTCATGGGAGGAAATGTGTCACCCAATCCCAGGATTATTCAGAGATTACTGAAGAAAATGAAACTCATTAAGTCATAAAGGAATTGTTCTTATCGTTCTCTGCGTTGGGGTCGGTCAGAGTACACAATGTAAAGAGACTAATGATGGCTCAGCCAATGTCAGTGCTCGTTACCTGCGACCGCACCTTCTCCACCAAGGACGCAGGGATCCCCTCCTAACCGCACACAGTGCCAGGATTACACCTCTCCTTATCTGCCCAGGGTCAGTGATCTGATACTGCTACCATTAGGACACATATTATCTCATCCTTATCTACCTGACTGTCAATTAAGGACATCATCATGGGATTGCGACAGATAAGACTTCTCCACCCAGACCTGATAGTGCAGATTTAGGCGGCCATTGAGGCCCAGTTCACACTGATGTGGTGCGAATTTCATCTGTTGTTGACTGTAGGTTTGGTGTGAATTCACAATGCGATTTCTGTGTGCCGGGTGTGCTTCTAATGCAAATTGTTGAGCAGTTCAGGTTCAATTCAGATGCGATTCTGATAATCCTCCTATTGACTTCAATGCAAAACTGCATCCCATTGACTTCAATGCAAAATTGCCTTCCATTGACTTCAGTTCAAAATCGCCTCCCATTGACTTCAATGCAAAATTGCCTCCCATTGATTTTAATGCAAAATCACCTCCCGTTGACTTCAATGCAAAAGCACCTCCCATTGACTTCAATGTATAATCGCCCCCTATTAAATTCAATTCAAAATCGCCTCCCATTGTAATCGCCTCCTGTTAAATTAAATTCAAAATTGGCTCTCATTGACTTCAATGCAAAATCACCCTCAATTGACTTTAATGCAAAGTTGCCTTCTATTACCTTCAATGCAAAGTTGCCTCCTATTGACTTCAATGCAAAATTGCCTCCAATTGATCATCAGTGCTGCCTATCAGTGCCCATCAGTGCTGCCTATCAGTGCTGTTTATCAGTGCTGCCTATCAGTGCTGCTTATCAGTGCTGCCTATCAGTGCCACCTCATCAGTGCCCATCAGTGCTGCATATCAGTGCTCATCAGTGCTGCATATCAGTGCTCATCAGTGCTGCATATCAGTGCTCATCAGTGCTGCCTATCAGTGCTGCTTATCAGTGCTGCCTATCAGTGCCCATCAGTGAAGGATAAAAAGTACCTGTTTGCAAATTTTGTAACAGAAACGAAGAAAGCTCTATTTGTGTGAAAAAATGATAAAAATTTCATATGGGTACAGTGTTGCATGACTGCGCAATTGTCATTCAAAGTGTGACAGTGCTGAAAGCTGAAACTTGTCCTGGGCAGGAAGGGGGTAGAAGTGCCCGGTAGGCAGGAAGGGGGTGACAGTGCCCGGTAGGGAAGGGGGTGACAGTGCTCGGGAGGCAGGAAGGGGGTGACAGTGCCCGGTAGGGAAGGGGGTGACGGTGCTCGGTAGGCAGGAAGGGGGTGACAGTGCCCGGTAGGGAAGGGGTTAGGTCCCTAAATGAATGTGAAGACATTTCCTGCTGTGTGGGAGCTTCCTGTGATAGAGACCGCTCACTGCTGCTCTCTCTCCTTGTGCAGGGTGACTGGTCCTGTCTCCGCCACCACCTGTAGATTTCTGCTGGCAGCCTGTAATAGGTGGAGTCTGATGGGCCCCTCCCACAGCTCATCTTTCTGCACAGCCTATGATGATGTCACTGCTACTTTTACAAGGTAATACCTGAGTTTGCAAGGACATTGCGCTCACACATTGTGGATTTGTATCCTTTGTGGCTCTAGGGGAATGTAGAGTTCAGCTTCAGGCAGCACCCCAAATGTCCTATAAACCCTCTCTGCTTGTACCCGGCTGTAGGAAGGTTCACATGTATGTGTGTGACTATGGACAGCACCTTCTGTGTCATGTGTACTGGCCGTGGAATCGGATTTTCCGGTCCACAATTAGTCCCCGTGAAATACGCCGTCATGGAATGATCTGCAACATTAGATTCGCAATCTCTGCTTTACTCTAAGCCGTCATGTGAGCTGCTATTTATGGGACCGCTGCCTACCAGCCACCCAGTGTGCCCAACCAGCTTCAGCCTCAACACCCTACGAAGAGGTTGCAATATGGCTGCCTCGGTGATGTCACTGCAATCCAGGAACCAACGGGCCAATCTGGAGCTGCGGAATCACTTTTTATACACTATATTGCTAGAAGTATTGGGCCGCCGGCCTTTCCACACACATGACCTTCAATGGCCCCCCAGTCTTATTCCGTAGGGTTCAATATTGAGTTGGCCCCGCCCTTTCCACACACATGACCTTTAATGGCCCCCCAGTCTTATTCCGTAGGGTTCAATATTGAGTTGGCCCCGCCCTTTCCACACACATGACCTTTAATGGCCCCCCAGTCTTAGTCCGTAGGGTTCAATATTGAGTTGGCCCCGCCCTTTGCAGCTATAACAGCTTCAACTCTTCTGGAAAGGCCGTCCACAAGGTTTAGGAGGGTGTCTATGGGAAGGTTGGACCATTCTTCCAGAAGCACATTTGTCAGGTCAGGCACTGATGTCGGGGGAGGAGGCCTGGCTCGCAGTCTCCGCTCTAATTCACCCCCAGGGGCGGACTGACCATTTGGAAACTCGGGCACTGCCCGAGAGCCCGGGGTCAGTAGGGGGCCCCATGAGATGCCCCTGGTACCTTTTTCATAGGTTTTCTTGAGTTTGGGCAAGGACACAGGGGCCCCATGATCCCCTATTGCCCGGGGGCCCCATGAGTTGTCAGTCTGCCCCTGTTCAACCCAAAGGTGTTCTATGGGGTTGAGGTCAGGACTCTGTGCAGGACAGTCAAGTTCCTCCACCTCAAACTGGCTCCTCCGTGTCTTTATGGACCTTGCTTTGTGCACTGGTGCGCAGTCATGTTGGAACAGGAAGGGGCCATCCCCAAACTCCTCCCACAAAGTTGAGAGCATTAAATTGTCCAAAATGTCGCCTTAAGAGTTCCCTTCGCTGGAACTAGGGTGCCAAGTCCAACCCCTGAAAAAACAACCCCACACCATAATCCCCCCCCCCCCCCACCAATCTTTACATTTGGCACAATGCAGTCAGGCAAGTACCATCCTTCTGGCAACCACCAAACCCAGACACGTTCATCAGATTGCCAGACAGAGAAGCATGATTGGTCACTCCAGAGAACACGTCTCTTCTACTCTAGAGTCCAGTGGCGGCATGCTTTACACCACGGCATCCGACGCTTTGCATTGCACTTGGTGATGGAAGGCTCAGATGCAGCTGCTCGGCCATGGAAACCCATTCCATGAAGCTCTCTACACACTGTTGTTGGGCTCATCTGAAGGCCACACCAAGTTTGGAGGTCTTTAGCTATTGACTCTGCAGACAATTGGTGACTTCTGCGCACTGTGCGCTTCAGCATGTGCTGACCCCGCCCTGTCATGTGACGTGGCCTACCACTTGGTGGCTGAGTGGCTGTTGTTCCCAGTTGCTTCCACTTTGTTATAATCCCACTAACAGTTGAGCGTGGAATATTTAGTACCCAGGAAATGTCACGGATGGACTTATTGCCCAGGTGACCACCTATCACGGGACCACGCTTGGAGTCACTGAGCTCCTGAGAGCGACCCATTCTTTCACCAATGTTTGTAGAAGCCGTCTGCATGCCTAGGGGCTTGATTGTATACACCTGTGTCCATGGAGGGGATTGGAACACCTGAATCACATGATATGGAGGGGATTGGAACACCTGAATCACATGATTGGAGGGCCGGCCCAATACTTTTGGCAATATAGTGTATGTTCAGCAGGAAGAGCTGATCACCCAGCAGATGTTCTCCATCCTGATCTCCGGAGTGGAGGCCGAGCCGAGGTTGACCAGAGTTGTGGATGGAACCTCGTGGGAAAGTGTCTTCAGACCTGACTTATAACACCCTTCTGGGGCTCTGAAGTTGAGCAGACATCTGGCGCAACAAGGGGCCAGCACACCGTGATCATTGGCCAGCAAGAACTTCGAGTGCAGCACTTAAAGGAGAACTTCAGCTAACATCAAAGAGGACCTGTGTGTTGACCACACCGGGCAAAATTACAGGTTCACTTCAGTTAGAAGTCAACACTAATGCTGGCCATACACGGATAGAAAATCGTTCAGGTTTCTAAAGTATTATTGAACGTCCAAATCGATAGATGTAATATAATGGTGACAATCCCAATAGTGTGTCTAATGTTTGTTTCCTATGATCATCAGCTCCATCTAGTGGCCATAATGGAAATAATCCCTTTATTGTCTCTACTATGTTTATTTCCTATGATCACCAGCTCCATCTAGTGGCCAATAGTGGCAACAATCCCCATAATGTGTCTAATATGTTTGTTTTCTATGATCAGCAGCTCCTCCTAGTGGTTTAATGGAAACAATCCCTGCAATATTTCTAATGTTTGTTTTCTATGATCAGCAGCTCCACCTAGTGGCCATAATGGAAACAATCACCGCAATGTCTCTAATATGTTTATTTTCTATGATCATCAGCTCCATCTAGGGGGGCATCTGATGTGATGGGGGGAGCTCTGAAGTGAAGGGGGCTTTGATACAGTGGGGCACCCCTGATGTGAAGAGGAACCTTTGATATTATGAGGGGAACTCTGATGTGATGGGGGGCTCTGATGTGAAGGGGGGGCTCTGATGTGATGGGGAGCTCTGATGTGATGGGGAGGGGCTCTGTTGTGATGGGCGGACCTCTGACATGATGAGGGACCTCTGTTGTTATGGGGAGACCTCTGATATGATGAGGGGACCTCTGATGTGATGACGGGAGCTCTAATGTGATGGTGGGAATCTGATGTGATGGGGGACCTCTAATATGATGAGGGGAGTTCTGATGTGATGGGGGGACTTTTGATATTATGAGAGGAGCTCTGATGTGATGAGGGGGACCTCTAATGTGATGTGGAGACCTCTGATGTGATGGGGGACCTCTGATGTGATGTGGGGACCTCTGATGTGATGGGAGACCTCTGATGTGATGTGGGGACCTCTGATGTGATGGGAGGACCTCTGATGTGATGGGGAGACCTCTGATGTGATGGGGAAACCTCTGATGTGATGGGGGACCTCTGATGTGATGGGGAGACCTCTGATGTGATGGGGAAACCTCTGATGTGATGGGGGACCTCTGATGTGATGGGAGGACCTCTGATGTGATGGGGGGGACCTCTGATGTGATGGGGAAACCTCTGATGTGATGGGGGACCTCTGATGTGATGGGAGGACCTCTGATGTGATGGGAGGACCTCTGATGTGATGGGAGACCTCTGATGTGATGGGAGACCTCTGATGTGATGGGGATCTCTGATGTGATGGGGGACCTCTGATGTGATGGGAGACCTCTGATGTGATGGGGACCTCTGATGTGATGGGGACCTCTGATGTGATGGAGGACCTCTGATGTGATGGGGAAACCTCTGATGTGATGGGGATCTCTGATGTGATGGGGGACCTCTGATGTGATGGGAGGACCTCTGATGTGATGGGGAAACCTCTGATGTGATGGGAGACCTCTGATGTGATGGAGGACCTCTTATATGATGGGGGGATCTCTGATGTGATGGGAGATCTCTGATGTGATGTGGGGACTTCTGATGTGATGGGAGGACCTCTGATATGATGGGAGAACTCTGATGTGATGGGGGGAGCTCTGATGTGTTGATGGGAGTCCTCTAATATTATGAGAGGAGCTCTGATGTGATGGGGGACCTCTGATGTGAAGAGGGATCTCTGATGTGGTGGAGAAACCTTTGATATTATGAGGGGTGCTCTGATGTGAAGGGAGACCTCTGATATGATGAGGGGAGTTCTGATGTGATGGGGGGACCTCTGATATGATGGAAGACCTCTGATGTGATGGGGGGCACTCTATTGTGATGGGAGGGGACCTATGATGTGATGGGGGAGCTCTGATGCGAGGGGGGGGACCTCTGATGTGATGGGAGGACCTCTGACGTGATGGGAGACCTCTGATGTGATGGAGGACCTCTGATGTGATGGGAGACCTCTGATGTGATGGAGGACCTCTGATGTGATGGGGAAACCTCTGATGTGATGGGGATCTCTGATGTGATGGGGGATCTCTGATGTGATGGAGGACCTCTTATGTGATGGGGAAACCTCTGATGTGATGGGGATCTCTGATGTGATGGGGGATCTCTGATGTGATGGGGGATCTCTGATGTGATGTGGGGACTTCTGATGTGATGGGAGAACTCTGATGTGATGGGGGACCTCTGATGTGATGGGGGGAGCTCTGATGTGTTGATAGGAGTCCTCTAATATTATGAGAGGAGCTCTGATGTGATGGGGGACCTCTGATGTGGTGGAGAAACCTTTGATATGATGAGGGGTGCTCTGATGTGAAGGGAGACCTCTGATATGATGAGGGGAGTTCTGATGTGATGGGGGGACCTCTGATATGATGGAAGACCTCTGATGTGATGGGGGGCACTCTATTGTGATGGGAAGGGACCTATTACGTGATGGGGGAGCTCTGATGCGAGGGGGGGGACCTCTGATGTGATGGGGAGACCTCTGATGTGATGGGGGGAGCTCTGATGTGATGGGGGGACATCTGATGTGATGAGGGGACCTCTGATGTGATGGGGGACCTCTGATGTTATGGGGAGACCTCTGAGGTGATGGGGGGACCTCTGATGTGATGTGGGGACCTCTGATGTGATGGGAGACCTCTGATGTGATGCGGGGACCTCTGATGTGATGGGAGGACCTCTGATGTGATGGGAGACCTCTGATGTGATGGGAGACCTCTGATGTGATGGAGGACCTCTGATGTGATGGGGAAACCTCTGATGTGATGGGGGACCTCTGATGTGATGGAGGACCTCTGATGTGATGGGGAAACCTCTGATGTGATGGGGATCTCTGATGTGATGGGGGACCTCTGATGTGATGGGGAAACCTCTGGTGTGATGGGAGACCTCTGATGTGATGGAGGACCTCTTATATGATGGGGGGATCTCTGATGTGATGGGGGATCTCTGATGTGATGTGGGGACTTCTGATGTGATGGGAGGACCTCTGATATGATGGGAGAACTCTGATGTGATGGGGGGAGCTCTGATGTGTTGATGGGAGTCCTCTAATATTATGAGAGGAGCTCTGATGTGATGGGGGACCTCTGATGTGAAGAGGGATCTCTGATGTGGTGGAGAAACCTTTGATATGATGAGGGGTGCTCTGATGTGAAGGGAGACCTCTGATGTGAAGAGGGGAGTTCTGATGTGATGAGAGGGACCTCTGATGTGATGGGAAACCTCTGATGTGATGGGGGGGGGGGCTCTAATATGATGGGAGACCTCTGATGTGATGGGGGGGCCTCTGATGTGATGGGGGGACCTCTGATGTGGAGGAACCTCTGATGTGATGAGGGGACCTCTGATGTGATGGGAAACCTCTGATGTGATGGGGGGGCCTCTGATGTGAAGGTGGTTTTGTACATCGTCCCAGGTTCAGGTTTCCCATCGATAAGTGACACTTACACTTTCTATATATCAGACTGGGGTACCTCATAATTTGCCGTCATGTTTCGGGGTTCCGGCACTGAAAAAGGTTGAGAAATGCTGACTTAGAGGCCGCGTAGTAACGGTGCTAAATTCAATCCAGACGTGCGTTCCTTGATGACCCGCGGGCATGGAAGGCTTGACGCTCCATCTGTCATCACATTTCGGCGTAGGGTGTCATCGAGAAGAAGGGACTGGATCTTGTAGTTCCCATGAGCAGCCAGGGGGGGACGCTGTCTTCCAGAGCCTACTGTACACCGTTATGGTATGTGTCGGCTGCTCATGCTTTCATCTCCCCGAGTTTGTTTGAAGAGCTCTGATATGTGAAGTGTTTGCCCAGCAGATAAAGCCACACATTCCACATAGCACATACAGTCCGTCATGTCAGCATGGTGAGGTATGCATGGCGGTATGAATCGCAGCTGGCGGGGCGCCCAAACTACAAATTCTATTTATTCTGTCCCCACTCCCCCCCCCCACACCTCAATTACATATTCTATTTTTTCTGTCCCCACCCCCCCACCTCATGTGACATTCCATACCCCCAGGCATACAATTTTTCACATACAGGTGAAACTCGAAAAAATGAGAATATGGTGCAAAAGTTCATTTATTTCAGTGCAGCAACTTAAAAGGTGACGACACTAATATATGAGACTCATTACAGGCAAAGCAAGATAGTTCAAGCCGTGATTTGTCATCATTGTGATGATTATGGCTTACAGCTCATGAAAACCCCAAATCCACAATCTCAGAAAATGAGAATATTCCATGCAATCAATAAAGGATTGTACATAGAACAATATCGGACCTCTGAAAAGTAGAAGCTGCATATGTACTCAGTACTTCGTTTGGGCCCCTTTTGCAGCAATTACTGCCTCAATGCGGCGTGGCATGGAAGCTATCAGCCTGTGGCACTGCTGAGGTGTTATGGAAGACCAGGATGCTTCAATAGCGGCCTTCAGCTCTTCTGCATTGTTCGGTCTCTCATGTCTCTCATCTTTCTCTTGGCAATGCCCCATAGATTCTCTATGGGGTTCAGGTCAGGCGAGTTTGCTGGCCAATCAAGCACAGTAATCCTACTGTCATTGAACCAGGTTTTGGTGCTTTTGGCAGTGTGGGAGGTGCCAAGTACTGCTGGAAAATGAAGTCAGCATCCCCATAAAGCTCGTCTGCGGAGGGAAGCATGAAGTGCTCCAAAATCTCCTGGTAGACGGCCGCATTGACCCTGGACTTAATGAAACACAATCTCAGAAAATGAGAATATTGTGAAAAGGTGGAATAAAGGTGTCCCACTCTAATCAGCTCATTCAGCCATAACACCTGCAAAGGGTTCCTGAGCCTTTAAATGGTCTCTCAGTCTGGTTCAGTAGGAATCACAATCATGGGAAAGACTGCGGACCTGACACCATCACTGACACCCTCCATAAGGAGGGAAAGCCTCAAAAGGTAATTGTAAAAGAAGTTGGAAGTTCCCAAAAGTGCCGTATCAAAGCACATTAATAGAAAGTTATGTGGAAGGGAAAAGTGTGGAAGAAAAAGGTGCACAAGCAGCTGGGATGACCGCAGCCTGGAGAGGATTGTCAGGAAAAGGCCATTCAAAAGTGTTGGGGACTTTCACAAGGAGTGGACTGAGGCTGGAGTCAGTGCATCAAGAGCCACCACACACAGACAGATCCTGGACATGGGCTTCAAATGTCGTATTCCTCTTGTCAAGCAGCTCCTGAACAACAAACAACGTCAGAAGCGTCTTACCTGGGCTAAAGAAAAACAGACCTGGTCTGGTGCTCATGGTCCAAAGTCCTCTTTTCTGATGAGAGCAACTTTGCATCTCATTTGGAAACCAAGGACCCCGAGTATGGAGAAGGAAGAATGGAGAGGCCCAAGGACCCCGAGTATGGAGGAAGAATGGAGAGGCCCAAGGACCCCGAGTATGGAGGAAGAATGGAGAGGCCCAAGGACCCCGAGTATGGAGGAAGAATGGAGAGGCCCAAGGACCCCGAGTATGGAGGAAGAATGGAGAGGCCCAAGGACCCCGAGTATGGAGGAGAATGGAGAGGCCCAAGGACCCCGAGTATGGAGGAAGAATGGAGAGGCCCAAGGACCCAGAGTATGGAGGAAGAATGGAGAGGCCCAAAGACCCCGAGTATGGAGAAAGAATGGAGAGGCACAAGGACCCCGAGTATGGAGGAAGCATGGAGAGGCCCAAGGACCCCGAGTATGGAGGAAGAATGGAGAGGCCCAAGGGCCCCGAGTATGGAGGAAGAATGGAGAGGGCCCAAGGACCCAGAGTATGGAGGAAGAATGGAGAGGCACAAGGGCCCCGAGTATGGAGGAAGAATGGAGAGGCCCAAGGACCCAGAGTATGGAGGAAGAATGGAGAGGCACAAGGACCCGAATATGGAGGAAGAATGGAGAGGCCCAAGGGCCCCGAGTATGGAGGAAGAATGGAGAGGCCCAAGGACCCCGAGTATGGAGGAAGAATGGAGAGGCCCAAGGGCCCCGAGTATGGAGGAAGAATGGAGAGGCCCAAGGACCCAGAGTATGGAGGAAGAATGGAGAGGCACAAGGGCCCCGAGTATGGAGGAAGAATGGAGAGGCCCAAGGACCCAGAGTATGGAGGAAGAATGGAGAGGCACAAGGGCCCCGAATATGGAGGAAGAATGGAGAGGCACACACTGCAAGATGCTTGAAGTCCAGTGTGAAGTTTCCACAGTCTGTGTTGATTTGGGGAGCCATGTCATCTGCTGGTGTGGGCCCACTGTGCTTCATTAAGTCCAGGGTCAATGCAGCCGTTCTACCAGGAGATTTTGGAGCACTTCATGCTTCCTTCCACAGACGAGCTTTATGGGGATGCTGACTTCAGTTTCCAGCAGGACTTGGCTCCGCCCACACTGCCAAAAGCACCAAAACCTGGTTCAATGACCGTGGGATTAATGTGCTTGATTGGCCAGCAAACTCGCCTGACCTGAACCCCATAGAGAATCTAAGGGGCATTGCCACTGATCACCAATGTAAGGGACATTCTTCCCACTAATCCCCAATGTAAGGTGCATTCTTACCACTGACCACCAATGTAAGGAGCATTCTTCCCACTGACCACCAATGTAAGGGACATTCTTCCCACTGATCATCAATGCAAGGGGCATTCTTCCCACTGACCACCCATGTAAGGAGCATTCTTCCCACTGATCATCAATGTAAGGAGCATTCTTCCCACTGACCACCAATGTAAGGGGCATTCTTCCCACTGACCACCAATGTAAGGGACATTCTTCCCACTGACCACCAATGTAAGGGACATTCTTCCCATGACCTGACCACCAATGTAAGGAGCATTCTTCCCACTGACCACCAATGTAAGGGACATTCTTCCCACTGACCACCAATGTAAGGAGCATTCTTCCCACTGATCACCAATGTAAGGGGCATTCTTCCCACTGACCCCCAATGTAAGGGACATTCTTCCCACTGATCATCAATGTAAGGAGCATTCTTCCCACTGACCACCAATGTAAGGAGCATTCTTCCCACTGACCACCAATGTAAGGGGCATTCTTCTCACTGACCACCAATGTAAGGGACATTCTTCCCACTGACCACCAATGTAAGGGACATTCTTCCCACTGACCACCAATGTAAGGAGCATTCTTCCCACTGACCACCAATGTAAGGGACATTCTTCCCACTGACCACCAATGTAAGGAGCATTCTTCCCACTGATCACCAATGTAAGGGGCATTCTTCCCACTGACCCCCAATGTAAGGGACATTCTTCCCACTGACCACCAATGTAAGGGACATTCTTCCCACTGACCACCATTGTAAGGGACATTCTTCCCACTGATCCCCAATGTAAGGGACATTCTTCTCACTGACCACCAATGTAAGGGACATTCTTCCCACTGATCCCCAATGTAAGGAGCATTCTTCCCACTGATCACCAATGTAAGGGGCATTCTTCCCACTGATCCCCAATGTAAGGAGCATTCTTCCTACTGATCATCAATGCAAGGAGCATTCTTCCCACTGACCACCAATGTAAGGGACATTCTTCCCACTGACCACCATTGTAAGGGACATTCTTCCCACTGATCCCCAATGTAAGGAGCATTCTTCCCACTGATCACCAATGTAAGGGGCATTCTTCCCACTGACCACCAATGTAAGGGGCATTCTTCCCCACTGATCCACAATGTAAGGGACATTCTTCCCACTGATCACCAATGTAAGGGACATTCTTCCCACTGACCCCCAATGTAAGGGACATTCTTCCCACTGACCCCCAATGTAAGGGACATTCTTCCCACTAATCCCCAATGTAAGGTGCATTCTTACCACTGACCACCAATGTAAGGGACATTCTTCCCACTGATCATCAATGCAAGGGGCATTCTTCCCACTGACCACCAATGTAAGGGGCATTCTTCCCACTGACCACCAATGTAAGGGGCATTCTTCCCACTGACCACCAATGTAAGGAGCATTCTTCCCACTGACCATCAATGTAAGGGGCATTCTTCCCACTGATCACCAATGTAAGGGACATTCTTCCCACTGATCACCAATGTAAGGGACATTCTTCCCACTGACCCCCAATGTAAGGGACATTCTTCCCACTGACCACCAATGTAAGGGACATTCTTACCACTGATCACCAATGTAAGGGACATTCTTCCCACTGACCCCCAATGTAAGGGACATTCTTCCCACTGACCCCCAATGTAAGGGACATTCTTCCCACTGATCACCAATGTAAGGGACATTCTTCCCACTGACCACCAATGTAAGAAACATTCTTCCCACATTCTTCCCATTACTGAACAATTCCAAGGAGTGGATAGGTATAGCTTTTCGGGGGCCATCCAGACAAAATGAGCAGTTACCTCTTGCAGTGCCCCACTTCATGGGAGAAAAAAATGTTACATGGAGTCCTGTTGTAAAGGACCCAGATTTGATGACATTCTGGAACATCCATCATTCCAGAAAACGAAGTCCAGGAATGTTTCCAGTAGTTGTCTAGAAAAGTGCGTCCTTCACAAGGGCACAGAAGCCGCTAGTGTATAGACGAGCAAACTATTTTTTTTTTTACAGTACATTCCAGGAATTAAATTGTCACACCTCGTACATGAATATTTTTGACTTTTTTTTAGCAGCTCTTGAACTTTTTGCCTCGGTGCTCCTTTCATCGGGAACTCCCTTGACGCCCTCACTTGTGCCTTTTTATGGTTACGGCACTCAATGGTGACCCAAAGCCTCCCTATATTTTCCAGTGACTCACTGTAAGTTTGTAGATGGGTGGTGGACCCTGATTCAGATGCCCTTTAAAACTCATCATGCGACAACGAACATCTCAACACGTCGCGTTCTTGTGAGACGCCGCCGAAATGGCCAAAACTATTAATAGGACCTGGCAGAAGATTTTAAGGAAGGAAATGCTCATTTCCTGCTGGGAGAAATATATTTCTATGTGCGTTCCCCACGGTCGGGTTGTAGGAGGGGGGTGGCTCATCTTTTCTTTTTTTCTGGAAAGAGTCTAAATATAACAACTATCAAGGTGACGTGTTTGCGTAAACGGTGCGGCCCGTGGGTGAGGGAGGGTGAGGGTGTGCCCCGACTTCGTCCATTTACCATCATGCACAACCATCCCGCTATTATGTTCTGTGCTTAATGAGAAAGGCATGGTCACTCCGAGGACGTCACTGACTCTTCACACCAAGCCTCATTCCTCAATGTGGAGCTCCTCTTGTGCTGCACCTGGTCTCCCGATGCTTTTCTTCATTCCACAACTCTACATTTAAAGCGTATGTATAGCCAACATTTTTTTTTAGTCTTGGACATAGTAAGGAAGAATTGGAATGCGTGCCAAGATTTTATTGGTCCAGGAAGAGAAACAGAGCATAAAGAGTTCCAGCTCACAAATCAGTCCAAGAACATTTTACTGTTCCTCAAATTATTTAAAGAAGAATGGTCAATGTTTCGTCAGGGCTACAAGGACACAAGTGATTGAATAAAAATAGAGTGTGTGAAGGCATGACTACTTTTTCAACCAGGATTCTATGGAACCACTGAGTTCCTCCAGAGGTTGTTAGGGATTCCTTGAGCTGTGGCTGATTGAACTCTCATTTGATGGTGTCTGCAAAGTTCTGGGGCCAATGCCATGTGGAAGGTCCAGGCACACAAAGCCAATAATCTTTTTAGGTGTCTGTAATGGTGGTCTCCTGACCACAACTGTAAGGGGTATTCTTCCCACTGACCACCAATGTAAGGGACATTCTTCCCACTGACCACCAATGTAAGGAGCATTCTTCCCCCTGACCACCAATGTAAGGGACATTCTTCCCACTGACCACCAATGTAAGGGACATTCTTCCCAATGATCACCAATGTAAGGGACATTCTTCTCGCTGATCACCAATGTAAGGGACATTCTTCTCGCTGATCACCAATGTAAGGAGCATTCTTCCCACTGACCACCAATGTAAGGAGCATTCTTCCCACTGACACCCAATGTAAGGGACATTCTTCCCACTGACCCCCAATGTAAGGGACATTCTTCCCGCTGATCACCAATGTAAGGAACATTCTTCCCGCTGACCCCCAATGTAAGGGACATTCTTCCCGCTGATCGCCAATGTAAGGGACATTCTTCCCGCTGACCGCCAATGTAAGGGGCATTGTTCCCGCTGACCGCCAATGTAAGGGGCATTCTTCCCACTGACCGCCAATGTAAGGGGCATTCTTCCACTGACCCCAATGTAAGGGACATTCTTCCCACTGATCACCAATGTAAGGGACATTCTTCCCACTGATCACCAATGGTGCTTAGACTGCAACATTGTAACTTTTGTGCAGCAAGTCACAAGGTGAGTGGCTTCAGCAGGCACTTCCAGGACAAGGCCTGACCAACCAGTGTCCAGGGCTACTTTGGGAAATTTGAGGTGCACTTTCACTTGTAAACATAGAAGCTGGAACAGAAAGCCGGCTTCTGTGTTTACAACAAGTGACAGCAGGGAGCACAGGGCTAGTGCTAATGCTCCGGACAGAAAAAAGCTCTGTTGACAGGAATGACACTGCAGTCACTCCTGACAGTGCGAGGCATGTGCCCCTTCTGCCCCCTCCTTGTCCCGGCCCTGGCAGCAGGGTCTGATCTGTGTCAGACATTTGTCAACATGACCAAGAACTGCCTGGGCGCCGGGATTACCAGGATCTTGTCACCTTTCATTTACTTTAACTTGCTCCCAGGAAATACTCTTTAACGCACACGAAAAGATTGTTCAGCAAAAAAATTGCAATCCTGCAGTTTCTCACAATGTCTTCTTGGCAGCATTGCTAAATATTCACACGTTTTTTCTCTTGAACAAATGATTGACTCAGTGATACAAATTCTGATCACAGATCCTGGGAACTGCTGATCTTCTGTCAGGGTTCCAAAGTGTTTCTTCCCCTAGAACAATGGCGTGTGAGATTTAATTGGCTGCCTCGCCCTTCACGTTCCATGCAGCTCTGTGTATGGGAGCCCGCTGGCAGGGAAGGGGTTAAGGCATGTTTCGCCTGCGGGTGTCACACGTCACGGTCACCGGCTGCCATGGGGACGCCTGTCAACAAGTGGAGATTTTTAATGTTTAATTGATGAAGGTGACTGATCTGCAGACAGGTTGCTATTATCCCACACAGAGTAACCCGGGACACATTACAGTACACACTCGGGTGGCCGCTTGCGGTTTCATTGTCACACGGCCTGCTGTGTTGTGTGCCGTCACTCCCATCTCCAATACAGAAACCCTCCCGTCAGCCTCTCGGTGACACCTGGGCCATTATTCCCACCACACGGTGTGGTCTCCAGACTCCCCGGACCCAACTGGCAATCTCGGAATAGGGCTTTCTGTGCCAAAGGGGCAACTTCAAAAATGGCTGCTTAGCTCAAGGGGTAGGATGCAGACTGAACGGACGGATTCCAGTTTTCATTGGCCTGAAATTTGGAATTTTATGAGATTTCGGCAAAATCTCACCATTTTTGGTGTCAACAAAGGAGTTACGGTGGTTTTTAAGGGTTAGATATGTCATGCCACCAATGTGTCATCAGACCACCTTTGTACCATCAGATGACTCCTGTACCATTGGACCACCCTTGTAACATCACATCACCTTTGTATCATCTGATCATCCTTGTATCAACTGACCATCCTTGTACCATCTGATCATCCTTGTACCATCTGACCGCCTTTATACTATCAGATCAGCATTTTACCACCAGACCACCCTTGTACCATCAGATCCCCCTGTATCATCAGACCCACGCTTGTATCAGACCACCCTTGTATCACTGGACCACCCTTGTATCATCAGACTACCCTTGTACCATCAGAACCCCTTGTATCATTAGACCATTCTTGTATTATTGGACAACTCTTGTATCAGACCACCCTCATCATCATCAGACCGCCATTCATCAGACCACCCTTGTATCACTTTACCCCCTTTGTCTTATCAGACCACCCTTGTATCATCAGGCCACCCTTGTATCATCAGACACCCTTGTATATATCATCAGACCCCACCCTTGTATCATCAGACGCACCCTTGTATCATCAGATCACCCTTGTATCATCAGATCACCCTTGTATCATCAGACCACCTTGTCTCATCAGGACCACCATTATATATCATCAGACCTTGTCACATCATCAGGCCACCCTTGTATCATCAGCCACCACTTGTATCATCAGACCACCCTTGTATCATCAGACCACCCTTGTCATCATCAGGCCACCCTTGTATCATCAGGCCACCCTTGTATCATCAGATCATTGACCACCCACCCTTGTATCATCAGACCACCCTTGATATCAATCAGCCCACCCTTGTATCATCAGACCACCCTTGTATCATCAGATCACCCTTGGACCACCCTTGTATCTATCATCAGACCACCCTTGTATCATCAGACAGATCAGGCCACCCTTGTATCATCAGACCACCCTTGTATCATCAGACCACCCTTGTCTCATTATCTTGTATCATCACCCCTTGTATCATTCAGACCACCCTTGTATCATCAGGCCACCCCTTGTATCATCAGACCCATCAGAACCCTTGTCTCATCAGGGCCACCCTTGTATCATCAGATCATGTCTCATCAGACCACCCTTGTATCATCAGACCACCCTTGTATCATCAGATCCACCATTGTATCCCACCCTTGTATCATCAGACCACCCCTCATCAGTCTCATCAGACCACCCTTGTATCATCAGACCACCCTTGTATCATCAGATCACATCATCAGGACCACCCTTGTATCATCAGGCCACCCTTGTATCATCAGACCACCCTTGTATCATCAGGCCACCCTTGTATCATCAGGCCACCCTTGTATCACCCTTGTATCATCAGACCACCCTTGTATCATGACCAACCTTATATCATCAGACCACCTTGTATTATAAGAACATACCCCCTGTATAATTAGACCACCCATCATCAGACCACCCT